CAACAATATCGCGAGAAAACTTCAAATTTACAAAATCTCAATTTTCAAAGTAATTAAAGCGCTTATATTATTTACTGCATTAATTACACTGATAATTGCTTGGTAGATAATGTAGAATTAATTGAACTCTTAATATTTAATAGCGCAATTCGTGTATGTATGCTTGCGCAGAGTAAACAAACGAATGCGTATTATGACTTTGTATACACGCAGATGTAAGCGTGTGTTCGAGAAAGAAAAGCATAAGACGAAAGATGCCAATAAATGTAGAATAATAAGAAAATAAACATTGCATTGTTGCATAAATAATGGTAGATGAAAAATCAAGGTAGAATCTTGTATGGATGACGAGTTAGAGAGATAACGAGAGATTGAAATCAATAATGATGAAATAAAAATTATTATCAACGTTTATCTGCATACATATATTATGCAAATAAGTTTATTTAAAAAATATATATTTAATATCTGTTTTTATACAACTGAGATACAGCTTTTAAATCTTTGGTGCAATGCGAATCGCCGACATTATGATGAATGTACAATGTATATAGGAAAATCCGTTTTCAGCATTACTGATAAAAGATCAACTTCGAGAGAAAGATAAAAAGAAATAAATAACATGACAAGATCTGCTTTCAAAACTAGTCAATTTTTTATTTGCCCTGTTACAAGCGTGTTTTGTTGTTTATGTTTTATAAATAATATGTACATTAGCTTTCACCTAACGTAATAAGTTATTGATAATTTCCAAGCATTTTACACAAAGTTTTAGATATGGATTTATATATTTTCGCTCTCTTTCTCTGTACAACAAACAGACAAACAAACAAATAAGAAAATAAAATAAGAAAGAAAAAATAATCAATTTTCATAATAAGAACGAGAATAAGAAATAAATACAGTGGCATTAAATTTATTTAATTTTACACAACATAGAAAGTAATATCATCATTTGAATTAATTGCACTTTATATATAACTTGATTTATCTTTTATCATTCGTATACATTATTAACTCTGTATTACGTAAACGATCTTTCTTTCATTCTCAAAACTTACATTAATATACACTTTAAGCCAAGAATAATGATTTATAATATCATTGGACTCTAAATGTTAGCTTTTTTTTCACTTTTATAATAAACAATTTAAATAAATAATAATTCAGGATTTAACCGCATTTCTTTAACTTTCATTAACCGCATATGCAGTGTGTGCGAAAGAAGCATTAATATTGAAAAATTAAAATATGAAATAAGACATAATTAAACACAAGTTTATGATCGTGTATTAAAGCACAATGTACATTGGATTTGAATGGATTCCAAGCGCAACAAAGAATATTTTTATACTATGACTCTTTATAAGTTACAATCTACATGAATATTCAAATTGACACACACACACACACACACACACACACACACACACACACACACACACATACACACATACACACTCACACACAAAACAAACAAACAAAATATACAATAACTATTATGTATCTATCAACATAGATAAACATACGATGATAACATATTTGCAATTATTTCGAGAATAGTTACTAAACGTTAAAATGTAATTGTTTAAAGTAAAATCAAGTTTTATCTACAACAGTTAATGCGTGCATAATTCATGAATTAAAGATGTGAAAGTGTTTCAATTCCATGGGCGCTAAAGTTGAGACGATTTTAATTCATAATACGATTAGCTTGAAACTGTTAAACAGATTAGAGATAAATTGAGCAGGATTATTATTATAAATGTAGAATTAAATGTCGAGATTGTCGAGATATAAAAATTGCATTAAAAGAATGAAGAGGAAACAAAGGAATGTCGTTTGGCTGGTTATTGAAAATAAATCGATACTTTTGCATTTATATAGTACGAGATCAAAATGTAATATTTGAAAGAGAGAGAGAGAGAGAGAGAGAGAGAGAGAGAGAGAGAGCGTGTGTGTATATATTGGGGAATGTAATTTAAATAAATAGTGCAGTGTGTAGCGAGGGTGGCATTATATTCTTATAAGCTTGAGTACACTTTGGCGTGAGCGCTTATCGGGAGAGGGAGCGTGATTAGGTGGTGGTGGTTAGGTGCGCGTTGGTCGAGAATCCACGGAGCGGATGGACTTTTCGATGAGAAATGCCACGCATCAAAAACGTATGTAAAGTAAGGCGAAAACAACTTGAGCGGGCGAGAGGGATATTTTTGGCGTTGGGAGGTATCGCGGCGGTGCGTAGTCTATCGATTTTGTTAACAATTGTTTTTATCACGGAGGTCGGGGAAAAATAGAAGGGACTGCCAAGTTTTGTTTACATGTCTGTCTGTCTCGCTTGGCATGCGCGAATGTGCGCGCATCAATTAGAAAGAGATCGAGTGTCGCCGGGGCAATGAATTTTGTTTATCAGAGGCGCGAGAGAGCGAGCGCGTAATTAGGCATCAGGCTGCGCACAATGGCGCATCGTCGTCAGCAATCAGGAACGAGAATGGAGGGAAGAGACTAGCATGGGGCACTACCATCCGAGAGACAAAGAGCGCGGCCCGTGTGCACGCTCAAGCGAGAGATAGCGACGGGCCGTACGAGTTAGTCGGAATACGTGGGGAGGGGGGAGGGACAGGAAGAAAGATGGAGCGAGCGTGAGTTGGAGGAAGGAGAAAAAGGAAAAAAGATCGTGTGCATCCATACGTGCGTTTAACTGTTCGGTTGGTGTGCGCGCGCACGCGCATTAATGCCGCTCTTTCGTCCGTGTGATACAGCAGGCAGCATTGAGCTCGCATTAACGGGCAGCCAACTCTATTCAACAAATTGCAACGAGCAGCAGGAGTTCGTCGAGTTTTCCTCCGGTCGTTGTCGCCCTCTTTGTCTCAAAGTCATTTTCTGTCGACGGAATTAAAGAGGGACGGACACCCCACAGGATGTGGCACTGCGACGAGCTACGTTGTCGACGTTCCGTCGCCCGTGTCAAAGGGAATTCCTGGATAAAGAGAGCATCCCCCCCCCCCCCCAACACCCACTCTTATCTCGTGCATTTTTCCGGTTGCGCCGAAACGTCGCTTAAGCACGGTCGATGATAGACTTTTTCCTCATTTTCTTTTCGACTTCATAGCTAGAGTCGTCTCCCCTTTCGTACTCGTAATCCTACCTTCTATGCCTCCGCCTGCTGTTTCTTTCATTTTTTTTTCATTTATTTTCTTTTTTTGTTCATCCGTCGCGACGGATTCGTTGAGTGCAATGCCGTCGCAAGGATCGAGCCATCCTTGATAAATAGATAGCGAGGATGATACGCGAGAGAGGAGGACCGAGAAGGACTCAACCCATTTGGCTTCTCAATGTGCCTCGACGAAGGAAAAACTTTTAAAATCAATAAACAAAAAAAAAATGAACTAAAAGAGCAAACAGGGGGAGGATGAATAGACGTGCCGAAAGCCAGATGATACTCTTGCTGGAGCGCGAGTAGCGCAATGCTGTGTAATCGGTATTCGAGAGGAGGAAGGAGAATTGGATGAAACCGGTTGGATGAAACTTGCGACGGAGACGGGGATCAAGATGAAAGATCGACGGGGGTCTCGTAGCGCTGATCTACTCCGGAGTATCGGCCGTGTAGTACCGGCTACAAACCTGCACCTTCGCCTCGCGGAAGAGCCTCTCGCCGACGTCGAGGGACGATCGCCCCTACCTTATGATGCACCCCGCTCGCTCGCGACCACCAGCCCCCACCCCGATTCTGTACTGAGGCCACGCGCATGCACGCAACGGAGCTCTGGCGAAGCAAAGATGGCGGCCCGTCGGCAGATCTCGGCGCTGTTTACCGCCGGGGCGCTCGGCGCTGCTATATGGGCCGAACACCCGTCTGTAGTCGCAGCGTAGATTTGGTCGGTGCATCACGCGTCAGCGAAGGAGTCTGCAGTTGTCGTCGACACCACCGCCATCACCGTTACCACCACCACCATCACTACCACCACCACTACCACCACCGCCGCCGCCGTCGTCGTCTTCGTCGTCGACCGCCACCGCCAGCTTCACAGTCGCAGCGGTCGCCGCAGCAGTAGTCGTCCTAGCAGCGTTAGACATCGTAACGGTGACAGCGATAGCCGCCGTTTCGGTCCGCGAACACCTCGGCGACGTCGAGGAACCACGAGCGCGGGAGGAGGAGGAGGGCTGGTGCGCACGCGCGAGGCTGGCTCTTCCAGCGGCACTGGCGCCTCCGCGTATAGCAGCGCCGAAGTCGAGCGCGGTCCGGCGCGAGCGAGGACCGAGGCCGCCGACTCGTGCTACGGAGACGACGGCGCGGCCCGGACCCGCAGCCGCGCAAGCCCTGCGGCTCGCGTCGACGCATTAAGCGGCCGCGAGCCCGCCGGGGAGTGCGGAGGCGCCCCTGTGCTTGCCTGAAGCCGCTCGCCGACGTCGATTCCGAGGGCTGTTACCGCGAGATGAGCCTCGGTCAGGCAAAGCTTCGCATGGACGAGCTCGCCGGAGCGGAGTACGATGAGGAGGACGAGGAGGATAGGAAGAAAGAGCAACGGCACATGGATCGCGACGACGATGTTGTCGTTGTCGAGGGGATGAATGGGAGGAGGGGTGAGGGGTCGAAGGACGAGGTAAAGGCGAAGGCGAAGGCGGCAGTAGCGGCGAGGGCGGTAGTGAGGTCGATGACAACGTCGACGCCGATGACGGCAGCCACAGCTACGGGAGAAGTTGGTGTTGCGGCTGCGGCTGAAGCTACGGCTGCCGCGGCCTTGACAACCGGTGCTAGCAATCCCGTGATGATGATGATGATGCGGACAATGACAACAACGACGATGACGACGACGTCGACGTCGACGATAGCCGCAGCCACGGCGTTGGCAACGACAACAACGACGACGGCGACGTCCACCGGCACCGCCACCGCAACCGCTGCCACCATCGCTACCACCACCGCCACCACCACCACCCCCACGACCACCACCACCACGACCACCGCCGCCGCCGCCGCTGCCGCCGCCAACAATAACAACAACAACAATATCAATAACTACACTACCACGGGAATAACGAATACGACGACGTCGACCGCCAGCATTACGAATGCGAGAATGAGGGCTGCGGCGATGGACGAGGAGCGACTGGGCCCGGAGATAGGAGACGAGTCCGCCAGACTACCCTCGACAATCATACTCAGCGATAACGAGAGGCAGCAGTTGCAGGAACAAGTGGCGCTGGTTGTGGACACCCAGCTGCGAGCGATGGCCGTCTCGACGACGGTGACGTCGACGACGACGACGACGACGAGGCCGACCGCTGTCACGAGCACGAATACAAACGTGAACGCGAATATGACGACGACGACGACAACGACAACGTCAACGGTGACAGCGTCGACGGCAACAACATACGACGACGACGACGACGACGACGACGACGACGACGACGACGACGACGACGATGGCGATGACGACGTCGTCGTCGCTGATGGACGCGTCGATGCGGGCGCAGCATGACACAGCCCCCTCCACGGCTACCTCGACCGGTACGCGATCTGCCGGCGAGAGTTTCGACGACGTCAACGGCAAAGACGTGAGTTACGTGAGTAACATGATGTTGAGCAGATTCCGGCGACGCGAGTACCACAGTGACGTCATAGTTAATTCAAAATTATTTATCCTTCTTCGTTCTGAGCTCCCGACATCTGTTTACCCTTATTATTACCCACCACACCCCTCCTATCATCCTCGCAATCTTTTCTCCTTTTTCATGGGCGCTCGATTAGTTTACATAGAGCGCTGTGTTGCGGTGGTTCAATCGTCGTTGCCTTGCTTTGTCATCAATTTGCCCTGTGTTTTTTTATCTTCACTCGTTTATTTATTTGCCATGTATTATGTCGTGGAGATGTTTGCCCTGGAGGTTTGTAATTAATTGTCAGATGCTGGAGGCGATCGAGGTGTACTGGCGTCGTCGTAGAACCGACGACGGCACCACTATGACATAGCTCAGCAATGCAAATCTCTTACCTTTAGTTAATTCGCCAATTAAAGTGGAGATCCAGGCACTTTTCAAGATGGCGCCTAGATTCATACATACGATTCATTTTTTCCCATTAGATTATTTGAATTTCGATTGTGCATAAAAAAATAAAATAATAAAGGAGCTAGCAGTCGTAAGCTCTTCAAGCATTAATTACTACTACTTGTTTAGAGTATTGTGATAAGTAATTCTATTTTGCTTTTTACTTTGCTCTCTGGATTTCCTAAAGCACACATACCTGCTCTTTCTTGTTTTGTTTTTCTTTTTTTTACAAACTATCGTTCATGCAAAGAAGAGCCATTATATATTTGCAAAGATAATTCAATGGTAAATTAGAGAAAAATTAAATATACTTATATCACATTATAATTGGAAATTGTCGGACACGTTTATATTTATGTGTTTGTAATTACAGTATAATTGAAAAACTTTCCTTGATAAGAATTACTTAACAAATCATTGAAAAACAAGATTTGATTATTATCAACAGATTAAAAAATGTGTATCTTCCTTTTCTTATACATCGAAACTGAATAGAGTTATTCAGTGAATTAGATATAATTGCCACTTGACAAAAGCACATTAATACTACAAAATTATTTAATTAATTTAATTGCCACTTGACAAAAGCACATTAATACTACAAAATTATTTGTAATTATTATTTGATTTACATTTTTATATATTCTATTAATACAGCTGGATTTATACTTCGCATCATAAGTATGTACATGCATGCGTATGTATATGTTACAAATCATTTTGGATGAATTTCTCAGTAACGAATCGAGATAACTTGAATGCAACTTAAATATATTCAAGGCTAATATATTATATTTCTATATATATATATATGTGTGTGTGTGTGTGTGTGTGTGTGTGTGTGTGTGTGTGTGTGTGCGTGCGTGCGTGCGTATATATATATATATATGTCTCGGCTTATATTAATTTTATTTTAATAATTATGCTTACAGACCGATTATCGATAAATCATTGAAAATATAAACAACTTTAATAAGTCATTATTTTATTTATCAACGTGATTTTAGAAAAAATTTTTAAATTATTTCACTAGAAATATATAAAAATTTATTAGTTTGATGACAATAATAAAGTTACATATATTGATATGCACACTGTTACTCGTCAAAATAAATATTATCACAAGTATCATGTACCTATTAACTTTATTTAATGCAAATGTTATTTGACTTGGTAATCCAATATATTGGCATGAATACAATGTATTAATTCTATTTTTTTCTTTTTCTCTTTCTTTACAATTTAAATTAATGCTAACTTTTATTAGTTTATCTATACAAGTTATCTTTGGAAACTTTTAAAGTAAAAAAAAAAATTAAAAATAGTAAAGGCAAGAAATTTAAAAGAGACAATCGAGAATATAAAATTAAAAATAGAAATTTTCAAAATTAAATTTCAAACTTACGTGCTCGAAAATTCCATATAATTCATTGATTATTTATTCCGAAATAAGCCATTTTTCGTCCAATATTGTTTTGATATTAATTTGCTTTATCATATTGAATTATCCTATTGCTAACCGCAGAGTTGAAATAAAATATTAATCATCCACTGTCCAACATGCGTACCTGTTATCAATTTTATCCAATAAAAATTGTGCAAGCTCTCGTAAATAAATCCCTAGCAGTAGTTAGTTCTCTCGCAATATTTTTAAAATTTTTAAAACAGTTTGCATTTACAATTTTATAGCAAATTAAGGTAAAAGATAAATCACCAAAACTTGTCCAAAAGTTTTGGGGGAATTTGGTCGTTGAGGGGGGGGGTTTAACATAAATTAATCGGTGAATCATAAAGGGAAAAAATATGTTACCTTGCCTAACGAATTGGTCTACCGAATTCATTCAAAGAAGTTTACTATAGGCTAAACCCCCCCCCCCCTTTATATCACACCGGAGCGATGTTTTCATTTTTTTATGGCAATCGTATTGTTATTTCGCTGTTTATGGGAAAGGCTATATAATCATATCTAGGGGTACAACAACTTTCTCCTTACTTCCTCTCGAATTGTCCTATATCGATTGTCTGTGCCGCCTCATCAGTTGCCTCGTTCTTCATCTCACAATAATCTCGATATTTATAAATAATAAAATATAATCTTAAAAATAATGAATTGGATTTTGTCAAGAAATCCTGGATGAATTTCTTAAATAAGCTATCGTTAAAAACATTTTATTAACATTAAATATACATAGGTGGATGTAATAAAAAATTCCTCGATCAAAGTTGTAATAAACTCTTGGTTCCCTATTTCATAAAATGTTTAAAGTACAAATGTTCGATAAATCTTTCGACTATTTAAGCGATTTTAAATGAATATTGAAATGAAAATATTCCTGTGAAAAGCATATATACAGGTCGTGCGCTAAAAATAATGGCCAATTCTCATTAAACTCGAAGACATTTGGAAGTTTTTTTTTTTTTTTTTATAATAATCACGGCTCTAGTTATGACGTTAAGCTTATCCATGTTATTATTATTATTAGAACCTGAATAATATTTATCGCTTTAAAGTTTTCAACCATTTTTTATTGAGGAGGCAAGATTTGGTGAATTTCGTCGAAATGACAATTTCTACGAGATGAGATTATATAAATCAATGGAAGGCAATTTTCAAGGATTTGTATTTGTTTGGTTAAAATTTTGAAATACGTTAATTGCATACTTGAAGTATATGCAAATAAATGCTTCGGATTTTAAAATATATCGAATATTTCGAATGATAAGTGTAATAATATTATTACCACATTGAAATCTCAATGCCATAAAAATAACAATAAAGCAGTGCGAAAAGTACTTTGTATGTATATATATATATATATATATATATATATATATATATATATGTGTGTTAAAGCATCAGTATGTTTTATAATTTTCTCGACGCTCGCAAATAATGGCTGAAATAAAAACTTACAATCAATAACATTGTAAGAGCGGAGTATATAAAGAGCCGACGACGATCGAAACGCCGTCATTTTCTTCGCTTAACATATGCTTACGTTGAAATCTGACGATGAACGTTTGTGCACGAATAGGGCAAGTCGCCCCGTGTTTATTAAATTTATGCGTACTCTTTCCGATAAATGTCGCGGCGAGAGTAGGAGGGATTCAGATGTCAAGCGAGCACGCTCAATTTTTTTTTTATTTTTTTTTATTTTATTTTATTTTATTATTTTTAACCTGACCTATAAAACTTTATTGATTTGTTTGTCGAAGGCAAATATGATTTATTTTTTTAATATTTTACTTTTTTCTTCTTCTATTTAATTATCTGCTGTTTTCTCTTAACCTACGTTTACGAGAATATTATTCGGACGAAATTGCCCTCGTATCATCTTGTTGATGGGGAACGCTGTTCCTGAGCTTTAACGCCGCCTCGTAATAACGCTCTTATCTCTCACTATCACCTATTCGCATAATAATAATAATTATTATTATTCGGGTTATAAATGACCAGTCTTGTGGTAATCAATAGAATTATCACCGAATTGCAGGTGAGGCGTGAGCACTGAGAGTATGGATTATTGATTATTTATTCGACAACTAGGCAACAAGAGAGTGCGATAGCTATCTCGTAAGCAATATCGGGGATTCGGGATGGGAAGCGCTGGTGGTAAGCGTCGACGGGAAATGGGGAAACGAGCGATGGAGTAATGATTTTCTCTGTACTTTTCAGCGGCTAAAGCCCTTCATTCGAACATGCGCGAAATTCGAAAGTGGCAGCGGTAGCGGCGACCAGGACGGCATGATCTCGATGGAGGACCGGGTGGACATAGCGGCGAAGAAGCGCAAGACCCGCCGCGGCAAGCCCAAGCACCGCAAGCTCAAGCCCTACTCGAAGCAGCAGCTTTCCTATCAACAACGTCTGCGTTGTCGCGCTTCGGGCCGACCGACCAAGACGGGCCGCCAGCCCCCCGCCCCCTACAACACCACGCAGTTCCTCATGGAGGACCACAACGACCTGCCGGACCTCGACGAGAAGATCGCCGGTGCGGCGAGCAGTGGAGGTGGCGGTGGCACGGGTGGGATTGTGGGCGGGGCCGGTGGCGGGGGCGGGGGCATGGGAACGGCCGCGGCCGAGGTCCACAGACACTTCACGAGGCCGATTGCCCTGCCGCGTACGAGGGACTCGAGCTTCAGCGTCGACAGCGACGAGGCCTACTTCTATTCCTCGCCCGAGGACGAGGAGGAGTTCCTCACCAAGGAGTTTTCGAGCGCTTACGAGGACTTGCACGTGGAGCGACTGAGCGCCCTCACCAAGACGGAGCTCATTCAGGAGTACACGCAGCTTGAGACCAAGGTCGACCTACTGACCAAGTGGTTGCGTAGCAAGAGCACGAGTGGCGGCCAGGCGGAGGTCATGGAACGCGAGTCCGCTCCCAGCGTCGATCCCAAGGACTCGGAAATGGCCAAGAAGCTAAAGATCTTCCAGCAGCGCGTCGACGAGCTTCTGCAGCAAAACGCCCAGCTGCGGCGCGAGAACAAATTGTTGCGCTTTCAGAGGCACGGGGGCAGTCCCATGTCGAGCGTAGACAGCGAGAGCGATAGCGACAGCTCCAGCAGCGGCAGCTTGTGCAGCTGCAACCATAAGACGAGCCCTGGGTCCTCGCCCGTACCGCCCTCCTACAACTCGCGACGCGAGAAGCTCACCGTCGGTCGCAGAGCCGAGAACCTCGTCACCAGAGTCGGCTTTAGCAGCGACAGCTCCTGTACCGAGGTTAACGCGAAGGTCGCGGCGGCCGCGGCTGCCGTCGGTATGCCTACGGACGACGGGCACGAGTAATCCGACATCTAAACGTACTCTACTTTTTTTTCGGCACAGAGGACCAGTAAAAGCGAGAGAAGAGCATACGGAGTCGTCACCGGGAGTAGTATATGCGAGTCGAATGTCGTCGAATGTCATCGAATGTCAAGGACATACTCGAAGAAAGTGTGTGCGCGCGCGCGCGCGCGTACATTTTAGAAACTTCTTCTCATGGAGGAAATGCGAGCGTGAGTGAAAGAGTAGAAGAGTGGGTGTGGGTGTACGCGCGAGCGTACAGGATCGAGTATGCGCTTTTGTGTGCGTGTCCGTGTGAGTGTGCGTGTGAGTGTGCGTGCATGCGTGAGAGAGAGAGGGGGGCAAGACAGGGCACAACAGCGAAGCAGAGACACAAATATAGTGAAAGACAGAGTTCGTCGCATATCCGTTAGCGCATCAATATATTATAATCAAGATTTTGCAATCCTAAACAAGGCGTAGGTGGAAATGACAGCACCATGATTGCGGCAATTAGTAAGCCACTTCTAAAATGTTTAATATAACAACTACTACTTAAACACGTCAATAAGGAAACATCATAAATATTATAAATCATTGTAGAATATGTATAAGTACATACACTTTCCTTAAATCTTTGTCTTTATGCTACTTTGTAATGTATAGTTATCCTTTTCTACATTTTGAATTTGTAAATTATTCAAATTGTTAATTTCAAGTGTCATAAATTTTTATTTATTTTTCTTTTTCTTATATAAGTTTTGTCCATTTAATAAAACGTTGATATGTGTTACGAAGATGGCGTTTATTCCTCAATGGTCTATCCGATTGTTATGCTACGTACAAAGAAAAAAAAAGAAAAAAAAAAGAAAGAAAGAAGCAAGCAATAATTTTTTATATAAGTTTACTATACCAGGCCGCCTGAATACAAACCTACGAGCATCGTGCATTTAATTTGAAAAAGAGTTGTCCGTAAACGTGTACACCTTCTACGTGGTACACCTTTGTGAGATGTTCGATGAAACAGCAGTTTGCAAGATCTCCATTTCTTCTTTCAATTGGTTCAAGTTTCTATTACGCTAACTGATTAAGTTACGGAGTCGTGAAGAACGATCGGAACTTACAGAATCAGCAATCGATATTATAGAAGTCAAATCATGAAACTCGATAATGGAAAAATGGCCTAATTATTTATTAAATACAAGTATGCTTTTAACTCCTTTATACATTTATACATCCTTTCTGATTAATGTCGACCAAGTAAGCCTTTTTTCTTTTTTCTTTTTTTTTTATACTTTTACGTGTCTTTATAATACAATAATTTAATCTTTCTTTTTTTTAAGTTCATTTAATACTATACCGAATAATATATCAAATAAATCTTTTAATTATCGAATTTATTTTTTTTTTAACGTATACAAGTACTTTGTCTTTTATAAATAGCTGCATATTTTCTTTTCTTGTTGATTATTTGTAATATTTGAAATTTAATTTCTGAAAAGATTTACATTTTATTTCAAAATATCATCAATACCTCATCCAAGAATTGAAGGCAATTGCATAATTTTCCATAACTATTTGTATAATTGTTTAAATAAATTACATTGATATTCTTCATAAAAATTTATTCGTGTCTTCATTATTTATTAAGAAATAAAGAGCTCATAAACAGCTATTCAAGTAATTAAAAATACAGATTTTATATTCTATTAAAAATTAATAGGTCGCACTCGGCATTGGGCCTCTAACTATTAGAAATTGAATTCCACGCTTTCACTATTATTAGAGAAATTCAACGCAAATGGGGCCTTTTTAATATTCATATACATATAGCATTCTGCAAACACAATCGTTTTAAGTGCCGCGTAACTCCTTGGTTCCCAAGTTTTTATATCACGGGGTGTTAAATCGTCATGCTTAATAAATCTGCCCCAAAATCACAGAGCGTTTAATATTCAAGAAATTTAAACAAACCTTTGCTCGTTAATAGGAGATCTTTGAAATAAGATAGTCGAGGACTACTTTCGAGTACATCTTTTAAACATAACGGTTTATTCACGATATTATTTATGCCAATAGTATCATCTGCTCTTTCTTAAGCTTACTCTCAGTCGATTAGGTTGAGTTAGGCACATTACCAATATATTGCTCTACAGCCGATTGGTGTATTCTCTCATTATACCATGAAAATGACAAAAATTCATATTTCAAACAATAATACCGAGTTGCATACCTCCATCTGAGCATATATCAATTATGTCCAACATCTGGACAATAATAATGCGCGTTATCGCGTCATTATGCATTATGCATCGATACAAACAATTGCTAATTGAAAGAATTTATTCTTACGGGTTAACTGCTGTGATCATTTATCCTTCTAAAGAATCTGTCCATCTATCAATTTTATCAACATTGGAGTACATGTGCAATTTAATCGAGCAATTTATCGTTAGATATCGAGGAGGTAGAACGAGCCTTTGTCCGCGTAGTATTTGTGCTGGATGAGGTATGCAGTTGTAGTAAAATTGTAATTTAACAAAGTGGAAGTTGCAGTTGTTGGGTGGTTCGTCGATAGTGACCTTGGAATGCAAGTGAAAGCCTTTTCCAGAGGTGGGGTGAGAGTTTGGTGCGATAGCATGACCAAGCATGAATTATTAACAAAAAATTATATCAATCACAAAACAGTCAAATATATTATTATCGGTTGCAAGCTGAATAATCGCAGAATCTAAAAATTTCTCAAATTCATTTATTGAGGTAAACTCATTTGCTTTATGCCTAATGTCGTGTATCCAAAGTATCCAATAATCGCAATTTACTAATTTGATACGTGCGAGAGTGACTTGAAGTCATTCCGTTGACGACGAGTTGTGTGTAACAACCCGAAAACAATGTTAAAATAAACAAAGTTTGTTCTTCTTTTTTGCAATACTTGTGCGAATAGCATCTAAATCTTCAAATGAGAAGTTTTAAATCATAATTCTTACTCGATTCAAGGAATATTTTATCATCGTCGTAGTCACTATCACCAAAAACTAACAATGTCTAAGCAGGGTGATTGGTCAATAATTGGCGGAATTGTTCTCAAATTACTTGCTGTACATATCGAATTTGCGAAAGCAGTCTTGCACTTTCACATCCACATCTATTATTTAATACAGGGCATCGAGTTTTGTCCTTGGATGTTCATTTATAGGATTCGATCGTTAAACCTTTATATTTTAATTTTTATTTTCGTCCTTAATTTAGTGTCATCTCTCTCTCTCCTTCTCCCTTTCTCCCTCTCTTTGAAGAAATATAGCGTTCATTTTTAGCGTGCCGATCTTGTCTTAAGTAGCGTAGTAGCCCGTGATCCTTTGAACGTCAACGTCGACGACTATTAGCAAATGATAGATGCTGATTTTTATTAAATAAAAATCTTAAATGTCAATGATTTCTTTGTACAATGTTTAAAAGTGTAAATTATTTAATAATACTTTAACGATATTCGGCACCGCTAATTGGTGTTTGTCATTCACAATCGAAAGAAGAATGCGTCGAAGGGGCGCACAATAATATTACCAATATAACTTATTTATCCGCAATCCACAAACCCGAGCAGGATTGATTTTATCTTGGTGCATGGTCGTGGCTACTTGCCGAGCGCGCTGACATAAACTTCCACTGTAAAATCTGCATTCGTGGAAAACTTAAATTGGAATCGTCTCGGTCATGATTAAATTTGACGAGTATTTGGGTTTATATGTGGGCAGGCCCACAAACACATACCGATGCCTTTAGCAGTGCCGATTTCGGCTCTCGCTTATATATTTCTTTTTTTCCCATCCGTCATTCGTCCTTAGTAATGAACGCTTCAAAAAATATTGCAAATTTGATATCGCGCAAGCTGCAATGGCAGAAGCATGGCAAAAAAATGAATTCTTCTTGGGAATAGTTTACGCGCATTTGAATTTGCGACGTTCTCGCGCCTTTTCCACCAACACTAACTCGTCGCGCACTGCGCTGCGCGTCAATACGAGTACCGAGTGACGACAAACTGCGCCCCATGTAAACATATGTTTGCTTGCGTCTCTTGGCGCTCGAATGTGTAATATTACATTGACACTGAGTTGTACAAAATTCAAATAAATCGTTTCTTGCAGTGTTAAGAAATATTTAATTTCAGTTAAAATTATGTTATGATAGAAGAAAGGCTATCGATTGAGTTGTAAATTTTTGGCTTTGTTTTCATTTCATTTAATCAGTGTAATCATTAATTTAAGTATGTATCTGTCTAATACGATAAAGAAGAATATGTATCTAAATGAAGTTGCTTAGGTGGTTGGATTTGGACTGCCAGATGGCGTGTATTTCTTTACACACACACACACACACACAGACACAGGCACAGGCACAGATATATGAATACGTATAATTAAATTATTGTAGGCGAGATAATTTGTCGAGCTAAGCTCTTAAAATTGTGAGAAATGCGCTCTTTGATTTATAATTGCGACGATGATTATCGAGATCTCTTATATGAAATAGGCTGTGGACAACGTAACTGCTTATCAATGAATATAATTTAGTTGGATGATGAGCAGATACAAAAATAAATAAATAAAATGAAATAAAGATTTAAAAAAAAATGGAGTAAGTGATATATAGTAAGAAACTATTAAACGACGGAAAAATTTTTATATGATTGGAAGTTTTATATCTTGATACACCGATTATGCATATGATATAACGAATGACACGATCTATTTACTATAAAGCCGAAACATTGGAAGCCACGATTGAATTTAGCATGTTATAATCACGCTGTACTGCATATCTAATACTTAGAGAAGTAGAAGCAAGTAGATAATTATGTAAACATTATTATTAAATGGCCAGCCGCCTAGGAGAAAGCTATCGAGACTTATAATATTGTATAGTATAAACACATTGAATTGTGTACATTACGTTATATAAGTGATAACAACATTATGGTTTTTATGATAAATAGATCGCGTGAACATCGATACCATCTTTTCATTAAATAAAGAGAATTATAAGCGTTGATGTAGTTGTTATGCATACGTAGTTCTCTTATTCCATTTGAAATGATTAAATATTTTATGCCTACATGATAAAGTATGGACAAATAATT